TAGTTTATTCACTGTTTCTTTTTTATTTTTACATACATGTACATCATGGTAACTCCATTGGACAGATATGTTTTGTTTTTAAAAAATGTTTAAATTTGTGTATACATACAATATTAATGCAACTTACAGTACCATCTATGATACTCCAGTTGTTAAGGATTAAGCAAGTAGTGAAGACATATATACACATTTTATTCAGGTACACACAAACATAGGGAATGTTCAATGAAAAAATAGATGTACCTTCTCACTTAAAGGCAGAAATTCTCTCACAAAACGAAACGAAACACAATTGATGAACAAGAACCTCCTTACACACAATCAAGAAAAGTTAACAAAAGATCCACTAATGGGAAAAAACTACTGTCGAAAAGTGAAATGTAAATGATGTCTTTAGGTGAGATTTCTGTTTGTTATACTTGTACTATAGCATGTACAAACATGTGCCCAGGATAAATATTTTCCTTTTTTCCTTTTTTGTGAGTCATACTCTAGATATTTGTTGCTTGTCACACAAAGGAAAAAAAAAAAAGAAAAAAAAAAAGTCCACTGAACAGTCAATGTTCATTTGATTTTTAACTGCCTTCAAAAATTCACTTAATATTTACGAAAATCTGACATTGGGAATCTGTCGTTCTGCATGCCCATACCCATGCCCATACCCCCCATTCCAGGTTGTGACAAGTGGTGTGCATTAGAGCGAATCATATCACCCATGGCCATGCCTCCCATGCTGCTACTGCTTCTGCTGCCCATTCCTGGGCCACCACTACCTCCCCATCTGAAAAAAAAGAGTATGTATGAGGTGAATCTGCATGGAATAAAAAATCTATTGCAAAGCAAAAAATACTACATTCTCCTACACCCATTCACTCACTTATGTATCAATTCATTTATCGGTTTCCTTTAGAAATTACCATTGCAATTCTTTCTCTCCATCAATCACTCAGACAAGTTTTACACATTTGGTTTTGCCTGTTACTAAACCACAGTTACAACACAAACTCAAGATAAGAGGGTATTTTTCTTCTCTTTTTAAAAGCATCATTATATAAAAATAACACAAAAGCATTGCAGCAGTTATCCCTGCTAACAAATCAACTAGACTATTTACAACATAACATGCATGAAGCTGAAGTTAACAAAACATTCACTAGGACAAACCAAAGGAAAAAATAAAAGTAAATCAAAGACACTGAATAAAAAAATAATTCAAACTACATTATAGAGACAGTAAAGAAAGAAGGCCTAATCTGCAAATAAAAAAAAAAAGACAAGCCATTTGCATGTTTCCTGTACTTGAAAACAGCTCTTAGGAGACAAAACCGAATGACCTGTTCCCATCGCTCCTGCACACTCTAGTACATTCAACACACAAGAGCAAGCCCCCAGGGAAAATATATTGCATGTGGTTAACTAAATTAGTAAACGGTGTCTGCCTAAAGAGATATTTTCAAAGTACAAAATAATATGCAGGTATGACTCATGTAATTTTGATTGCATTAACAGACTGACATGTGCAGATCTGCAGACGGTGGTACAAACTCAGAAGAGTTAAAGCTTAAGGAATTTAGTAATTCAATAATAAACTTCCTCTCTCTAAACATTTACAAAGTATTGAAGAATTATTGATTTCACTTATTTAGTGTTAACCATACCTTTTAAAACAATAGTACAATCATCATAAATGAAGTAACAATGTTATGATGATCATAATGGCAGAAACATGATTGTATCAATCCTAATATTTTCTATCAAAATGGACAAAAGTACAAATATAAATAGTTAAACTGAAAAAATCAATAAAAATGCAAAAGAACAAATATAAATAGTTAAACTGAAAAAATCAATAATAATTGTGATAAATAAAATTAACAACAAAACCAGCAAACAAGAACGTGCATGTCTCCTTGTACATGTATCTTGTTTCAGAAAGTGCTCATGCAATATGTAAAGTACAAGTTCTTGTTATGTTGAAAACAGTGCAATTGTGTGTTAATTTATAAACAATAGATTAATAAAATTACAAACACATACAGATTTCAAGGAACTATAATTAAACCCAAAATTCTTGAAGGAGAAAGCCAGAAAAAATAGGGGGTAGGGGAGGGGTGAGGGAGAAAAAAATGTAAATATCCAAAATATAAAGAAAAAAAAGAAAACTACAAAACTAGTGTCTTGAGAGAGAGAGAGAGAGAGAGAGAGAGAGAGAAGAGAGAGAGAGAGAGAGAGAGAGAGAGAGAGAGAGAGAGAAGAGAGAGAGACAGAGAAAGAGAGACGAGACAGCAGAGGAGAGAGAGCAGGGAAAAAGGGAGAGAGGGGGGAGGAGAGAGGGGAGGAGGAGAGAGGGAGAGAGGAGGGGAGGAAGAGAGGGAGAGAGGGAAAGAGAGGGGGGGAGGAGAGGGAGGGAGGGAGAGGGGGAGGGGGGAGAGAGAGAGAGAGAGGAAAGGGGGGGAGGAGAGGGAAAAGAGGGGGGAAGAGAGAGGGAGGGAGTAGGGAGAGAGGGAGGGAGAAGGGAGAGAGGGAGAGAGGGAGGAGAAAGAGAGAGGGAGGGAGAAAGGAGAGAGGAGGGAGAGGAGGGAGAAAGGGAGGGGAGAGGGAGAGGGAGGAGGGAGAAAGGAGGAAGGGAGGAGGGAGGAGGGAGGAGAGGAGAGGGAGGGAGAGGGAGAGGAGAGAGGAGAGGGAGAGGGAGAGGGAGAGGGAGAGGAGAGGGAGAGGGAGAGGGAGAGGGAGAGGAGAGGGAGAGAGAGAGAGAGAGAGAGAGAGAGAGAGAGATGAAGAGAGAGAGAGAGAGAGAGAGAGAGAGAGAAGAGAGAGAGAAGAGAGAGAGAGAGAAAATATATTCAAGGTGGGCTAACCTATCATTGTTGGCCATGCTTCCGGAGGGCCTCCAGCCTCCCTGCGTGTCCCCCCCGCGGGTCGACGGTCCAGAGGAGCCCACACTGCCCCCCATCAAGTTCGAGCCGCTCCCATAACCGCCCTTACTATCGCTCATACCCCCGGCACTCCTCCAGGCATCACTTCCACCTCCGCTGCCGCCCACACCACTGCCACTGTACCTGCAGGGGGGAGGGGGGAGGAGGGGATGGAAAAGGCCGCCCGTCAACTCTCTACAATCATTGTCAATTCAAGGAATGCCGACTGTCCCTCTCTAGGCCGCGGCATATGACACTTCCTTAAAAATGAGTGTGGTGGTGGTGATATAGATATGGACAGTGGACAGAGAACAGTAACAAGGATGGTAGCCTGTGCTGATGGACAGTGGATGGTAGACAACAGTGACAAGGATGTTGGACAGTAGATACTCTACAATAGTGACAACGACATTGGACAGGGGATAGTTATCGATAGTGACAAGGACATAGGACAGGGGACAGTTAATGATAGTGACAAGGACATTGAACAGGGGATAGTTAATGATAGTGACAAAGACACTGGACAGGGGATGGTTGATGCTAATGAGAAGCATGATGAAAGGTAGATAGTCTACAATAGTAAGAAGGATGTTGGGAAAATGGATGGAAGTGGGGGGGAAGTGGGGGGGAAGGCAGACTGGGGACTGCAGTGACAAATATGGTAGACAGTGGGCAGTGGTGACAAAGATGGTGGTGATGGTGATAAAGGGAAGAGTAAAGAACTATGGGAGATAAGGATGATAATAAAAATAAGGAGTGGAACAAAGTTTTTAGTTTTAAGATTTTTCTTATATTTCTCTCTAAATCTTTCTCTTCCCACAAAACTCACAATTTGGCCATTTCAAAGACAAGTGAGAAAGGAAGTTTATAACACTGATGATAATAATGATAATTAGGATAATAATGATAATAATAATAATGGAAAGTGCCGGCTTTTTTCATGCTTGTGTTCTATGTTTACAATAATAGTAACAAAAGACAAAATGTGCTTAAACTATATATACAAATAAACAGATCTGCTTCAATATCAACTCTGAATCAAGAACATACAAACAAATAAGAATGAGAATTAGAATAATCACAACACTGACTAATCATTAAACAAAACCAAATCTGGAAACCACATGATAACACACACACGTGCGCACACATACAAAAGCACACACAGACACATTCACACAAACATCTATACACACCCACTACACAAACCCTAAAGGAGCAGTATCACCTACCTGTCTCTGGGCCTATCCCTTGAAGCCTGAGGAGGTGGGGGTCCTCTGTGGTCACGGTCATCCCTGGGGCCTGAGCGGTCAACAGGACGCCTATCCTCACGGTCACGGATTTCTCTTCTGTCGTCATAGCGGCTGCCTGTGCTGCCAGCACCCCCCCCGCCACGCATATCGTCGCGCCCCCCTCCGCCCCCAGCACCATGGCTGCCATGGCTGCCGTGGCCTCCTCTATCAAATCGTGTAGAATCATTACCTCTCTCGTAATTTCTGTCCTCATACCTGTGGGTGTTGTGGATCATCTAACCAAGCCTATTCATCTGTCACTGACATCTCTAGTATGTTTTGTCTTATTTGTTTTGAAGTTGGCAAATCACAATCAATACTAATGCCAAGTGCAACAGTGAGATAAAAATTTCAACTAACCCTGTAGAAAACTATCTGTACACAAAGCCACTGATCCTTACCTGCGAGGTGGTGCGGGGGCATCATCTAGACGACCTCGGCTGTCTGTGGCTGGTCTCTTGCGGTCATCAAAGAAGTCTCGCCGGTCTCGCTCATCAGCCGGTCGCTTGAGGCTGCGGCGTGTTTCCTCATACCTGAAAATACAGTAGACTCCGGCTCATGCAAGCAGGCTCTGGTAGGCCAAGCTTTTCATTTGCAACATGCTCGTTACAATCATAATTTGAATGCACTGAATTCCAAGGGAGGATACTTATTATAATAAATGTCAAATGGACAGAAACTAGAATCAAATTAAAAAAGAAGCATTATCACAAGGGGCTAAAAATGAAATCAAAATATTTTCTTCCAAATTAGTTTAAGTCGATCAGGATGGGAGGATCAGTTTTACAAGGAAACCAAAATAAAAGGAACAAGTCAAATTTACGACAACTAATTTTTTTTTCCTAGCATTCCAGAGATAATACTGACCGGAGTCTACTGTTGAGGTTACTTGGTTAAAACTTTCTAATTAACAAATAAAAAATCAATTAGAACATGTAGGTCTCAAATCTGTTGCCCAAAAATTCTCTGTACATCTATAAGAGTGTATGCACATTCAGGGTACTTCTACTAATACTGTGAGTGAGTGAGTGAGTGAGTGAGTGAGTGAGTGAGTGAGTGAGTGAGTGAGTGAGTGAGTGAGTGAGTGTGTGTGTGTGTGTGTGTGTGTGTGTGTGTGTGTGTGAGTGAGTGAGTGAGTGAGTGAGTGAGTGTGTGTGTGTGTGTGTGTTGTGTGTGTGTGTGTGTGAGTGTGAGTGTGTGTGTGTGCGTGTGGTGTGTGTGCGTGTGCGTGCATTTGTGTGTGTGTGCGTGCGCATTTGTGTGTGCGTGTGCATTTGTGTGTGTGCGTGCGCATTTGTGTGTGCATTTGTGTGTGTGTGCGCATTTGTGTGCGTGCGCGTGCGTGTTTGTGGTGTGAGCATGCATTTGTGTGTGTGAGCATGCGCATTTGTGTTGTGTGCGTGCGCATTTGTGTGTTGTGCGTGCGCATTTGTGTGTGTGCGTGCGCATTTGTGTGTGTGTGTGTGTGTGTGTGCATTTGTGTGTGTGTGTGCGTGCGCATTTGTGTGTGTGCATTTGTGTGTGTGTGTGCACATTTGTGTGTGTGCGTGCGTGTGCATTTGTGTGCGTGCGTGTGGTGTGTGTGCGTGCATTTGTGTGTGCGTGCGCATTTGTGTGTGTGCGTGCACATTGTGTGTGTGTGGATTTGTGTGTGCGCGTGCACTTGTGTGTATGCGTGCATTTGTGTGTGTGTGCGCGTGCACTTGTGTATGCGTGCATGTGTGTGTGTGTGTGTGTGTGTGTGTGTGTGTGTGTGTGTGTGTGTGTGTGTGTGTGTGTGTGTGTGTGTGTGTGTGTGTGTGTGTATTTGTGTGAGTGCGCATTTGTGTGTATTTGTGTGTGTGCACATATGTAGATGTCACTGTGCATTTTCAACATCTCTAAATTTAATAATAAAAGGCATTGTGGGCTTCAGATAAGAACCTGGGAAATAAAAACATAGGAAGGCTCAAAGTTCCAGAATATAAACAAAAATGTAATATAGCAATGTATGGTCACTAACAGATATAGTAATAATAATGAAATAAACAAGGAGATAAAATTAACATACTATAAACAAAATAACATTGTTGTATAATTCCTAACAATGTAAATATTTGTCAATTGCATAAATTATCACATAGTAAAACCTTAAATTTACCTATCAATATATTCAAATCCTCTCATTAAAAATAGAGATCATACAAAAAGTATTATAAACAACAATTAAAAGTTTCATCTAGGATAGACTGCTCCATACTTACAATAATACTACAGAATAAAACCTTTCTGTATGAATTCTAGTTTTTCCAAGATGTACTACATGCATAACAATCTCCAAATCAAGCAAATTCCATGCAGATTTACCAATGCTAACAGAATTTTTTGTTTTTGCCATTCTCTGTACAGGAATTAGATCAAAATGCCAGGAATAAAGAACAGAAGCCAACATCACTCTGTGGAGCTTAAGCATCACAAGCAGAAATAAAGCTTATCTAGTTTATCATTTCTTTTATAAAAGTATTCAAGTGCCTCACTTCACATACTCAGGAGTTTTACACTAAGGCAAGAACACTATGCCAGATCTTTTATGACATTAGTACCATTTGCTGTTTCTATCACATTGGTTTATTTTGTATGTCGCACTTTCCCACAAACTTCACGTTATATTCTTTCATTATCTTCTATATATAATTAGAAATCTGCAATTGACAATTATGTTTCAATATTCCTAAATTGCTTGAATTTTCATCTTCTTGTTACCCAGAAAGATTCCAATACACACTATGACAGACGTGTGTCAAATAGGCCTGGCCACCCAAACACTCGTGAGCGGTGACACGACTGTGCTTCCCCTTTGCAAAGCCATTTTGCCTATACCTTCTAATCTAATTCAATATTACATAACATGAGGTTTTCTATCCCGAATTTAAAACTAGGCTAATGAATCATGAAAAAAAAATAAATAAAATAACCAACTATTAAAACAATATAAAAAATTCTGACAAAAAAATCTTACAATTCTCAAATCTTGGCTAGGTTACAAAAGGCAATACAGAAGTGAAAAGTACTGCAAATGTCTTACCTCATCTGCTGCCTGCGAAGTTCTTCACGTTCCCTTTCTAACTTCTCTCTCTCTAATCTCTGGTGTTCTCTCTCCATTCGAAGGAGCTCCTGCTTCTGGCGTTCAATTCTCTCACGCTCAATGCGCAACTTCTCTCTTTCCCTATTGAGAAGAAATGGTTTCAATTTGTTATTCAAAAGATTTATCAGAAAGATGGTTCTTTTACCCCTACCACCACAATCAATACTTCCAATCACTATAGCATCAAAAGCAATCTCTGGATTTTCTAGTAAGTCTTTAGTATTTTTTAATTCACTAATACATCAAATCTATATCATTTTCCTTTCCATTACCCTGAGCTATAAGTCTTGTTGCTTTGTTTTTTAATAACATCTCTAATTACCTTTGAAGCCTCTCTGCCTCTTCACGCTGCCGTCTTTCAATATTTCTTTGTCTGACCTCATCCTCTCTTCGCCTACGCTCCTCCTCCCTCATTATCCTCTCCCGTGCACGAATTCGCTGACGTTCACGTTCTTCCATAATCTGTGAGTGATGATACTTTGACAATTTCATTATTCACTCAATACTTTCCCTTTCATAATTTTTCCATACCTATATTCAAGCTAACAAAATAACATATGAATCAGTAAACCTATTCTTTATCATCATCTGTGCATTATGGACTCAATAATCCTCTCTACAGTTGATTCATGAGATTTTATTTTGAACTTCAGCAGATTACACAGCAAATGCCAGTCTACATGATATCTAGTCAAAAAAAGAGACTAATATAATTATCTATTTTTTATTTTGTATAACACAAGCTCTCACCACAGCAGCCTTTTACCTGTTTGAAACTGAGAACATCATTCCGGCCTCCCCTTGTGTGTCCACCCCTAAAGTTGTTACCACGGTGATCCTGCCTGCGATCATATGGGCGGTTGTTCCTGGGGCCTCTTCGCTCACGATCATGCTCCTTGTTACGGGCCACTTCCTCCTTGCCCTCTGGTTTCTTCTCTTCCTTCTTCTCACCCTCTTTCTCTCCCTTTTCTTCCACCCCCTCTTTCTTTTCTGTGCTAGGTTCTTTCTTGTCTCCTTCCTTTTTCTCTCCATCCTTCTTCTTTTCACTGCTTGGCTCCTTTTTGGATTCTGAGGGCTTGCGGTTGGATGATGACGATGATGAGGATTTGGTTCTGGTGGGGCCTCCAGGTTCTCCTTTGGCCTATGAAAACACATACATGTAAATTTGTTAAAGTTGTTAGGCTGTATCTATAATTCTTTCTAAGATATTTAAAATCAAATACAGCCACATAGCAGTTGGGACAGGGAAGCAGGTAATTATAATGCCAAAGAGACCAGTTGGGGGATATACAGAGGCGGGCTAGTGGAGCAGAGGTTTGTAAGAGGAGGGAATGAGGGAAAGGAAAGATAGACAGACAGGCACAAGCAGGCTTCTTTCCTATTTTCATACTTCTCTTGGAGAAAGGTATTGGTCTTACCTTTTCTACTTGTATCATGCGGCCATGAAGCTCTGTGTGGTTGAGCTGTGAAATACACTTAGAAGCATCTTCACTGCTCATCATTGTGACAAAACCATAACATTTTGCTCCAGGAGTTTTGGCATTTGTTACAATCTTGGCACTCATCACCTGGGGAGAAAAAAGTGGGGGGATAAAAAACCAAATGTCTAAGACTTACAATGGGTCTGAAAATATCACCATGTACATATATTGAATGTGAAAGTATGCTCCTTGCACAACTTATAAATACATATGCATTAAGTACATTATATATATAAATACATACATATATATATATATATATATATATATATATATATATATATATATATATAAAATGCCTGTAATGAAGTCACAGATGGCATTGCATTACACACCCATGCCCTTAAATTGATTGGAGGAAGTATGTCATTCTATAACATTATATCTCTGGTTTTACTATTGCATATGGCCCCCTAAAATGATGGGAATCACTTTTTTTCTAAACTCTACCAACAGGGAATACAGTACCTAATATTGTGTTTGAAATATCAAATAAACTGCTGATGCACACCAATATCCCCCCCATTTCTGGGTACTAGCTGATTTTAATACCACAGCTACAGGGTTAGGTAGTAATTCTGGCAGTTCAAATCACATTACATCTTCCTCTTTAGTTATATAATGACTTACTTGACTTCCTATAACACAAGTAATCACTAAATATAAATAATTACTCATCTGTGTAACATTCCTTGATATTTTTCCTGCTTCTCCCTAACACTCAACAATCACTAAAGCCACTTCTGAAGACGCATACACCAAAAAATTCTCATCAATATTTACAATTCACAAATAAAGGCATGTCATCCCTACATACTACAAAAGAAATACCAAGGATCCATCAAACAAGCCTTATAGTGAAGCAAGTTTTAAAGTCCTTCTTTATGCTGACAGTATTTAGAACTATTTCGAAATATGGTCAATGCTAAACCATAATGTACATTTTTCCAAAAGCAATCCATAACACAGAAATGAACCCACAGCTCATGGTATTCCTAAATATGTAACTTGTTACAGAGATGGGCTTGTTATTACAGAGTGGTAGTTTGCACACACTAGACTGGCTAGATTAATGTTTTTCAACATACTGTATTAGTTGTTTGCCTATCTAGTCTCTCATTACCAACTTTTCATCATAATATAGCATGTGAACAATATCAAGCTCACAGTAAGATAAAAAGAAATCATAATAATAACTGTGGCTGAAGTTGACTGCAGTAGCACTATATGCCAACCACATATGAATTTCCCTAGCATGACATCATGCCATTTATAATATGTAAATAAGCTCACAAAAACTTACATACAATAATACAAAAACAAAAACTTATGTATGAATGAATCAAACAGATGGGTGAGAATTATTAATACAAGAAATCAACTGCCATATTAGTAATAATAATAATAATTAAAAACTGCTCAGGTTTTTCTCTCACCTTGCCATACTTAGAGAAGACTGACTTGAGATCCTGAGCACGTGTGGAGGAAGCCAATCCGCTGACCCAGAGATTCCTTCCACTGCTGCTGCTGCTGCTGCTACTGCTGCTTCCACTCCCACCTTTGCTTTTGTGATCTGGAAGTTATATCCAGCTTCGGGTTATTGAAAGTGTTGCAACAGTGAATAGCAACTATTTTTACGTATTGAAGTAGCATGATCTAAGAGAACAAATCATCCCTCACATACTTCAATTATTACTGATTCCAATCCTTACTTGTCAAGATGAGAATGTTAAGCACTGTGAAGAAACTTAAAAAAAAACACTGAATAATAAACTGTCCAATTGTCTTTTTCCGTTTCTTTTCAGCAAATATCAAATCTATGCTTGCTAACTTATATCTTTCTGTCCACTATCAGTTCACTATCTACCTTCCTCACATCCCTTATATCTATTTTTCTACTTACCCTTCATTCTCTTTCTTCACTGATTTTGATGTGCACATAACCTGAAGTATTTCTTTCCACTTTTGTGCTGTAACAACCTAAAGCATTAGCGCATGTTAAAGTCATAAATAAGGATTATCCATTTTCTTTTTTCTTGTCATGCCTCATTTTCGTTTCTCTTATCCACCATGTTCCTTCTTAAATTCCATTAGCAATTAATTTGTTAGAAGACCTACCTATAACCTCTGATACTACTATTTCAGAGATAATGTATATAAATTTTTTTTCCCTTTTTTTTTCTTTCTTCCTTTCTTTTTTTTCATTTTCTTTTTCTTTTCACTGATGCTTGTCAAATCTATGACTTCCATTATCTTGCAAAGTAACACAAAAACTTGTACATACCAGCTCACATTGTCAAAAAAATATCTCACCAACAACAAAACATTGGATCTAACACACTAAAGAGGACAAAAGATTGCTGTCTACTCATGAATTAATTGTAAAACTGACAACCACCTCTGTTTAGTTTTGTCACTTCTATGCATGCAACCTCAATAGGCATTACATACTGATGTTGTAATTATTCCTCACCTAGCAATACTTACATAATGTTGTTTTAGAATCTGTGCTTAGTCCATGACTGCAAAGCTAATGAGCCATGGCATCCTACTTTCAGAAATAACACTCACTTCAGTACATCACTGAAACCTCTTGTTTATATTATGCTACAATGCCACTGTATAGCGAGACAATAATTTTTATAGACCCCTTCCACTGACCCCAAAAAGCTGCATTTAAAAACTCTGGATATCAATTGTTGATTTCTGGTTGCATCTCTTGGTTCAAGAAGACTAAGAAGCATTTGTCTTTACAGCACTCACCTACCTAGTTTGTCCCAATCTACAGCTTTCTTTTTTGTTAAAAGTGCTTTTTTCTACTCTCGTTTCCCATATCCATGTACGGTTCACTTCTTGTCCTCTAATACTCATTACTAAATAGTATTACACTTTCATTCACACATCTCCAACTACATAGTTGCCTTAGCAAGTACAAAGAAATCTGTAAACTTATCATCTATACAAAATGACAGTTCTAGTTTCCTCACTGATTAAAAGACCCTATATCATAAAACTTACCTTTGTCATCCTTAAGTTTGTCATCCTTCCCTTTGTCCTCTCCGGATGTGCTGAGAATATGAAAAAGAGAGATTCACAAGATCATAAGGAATTCTTTTCAAAGAGACTGAGAAAGGCTTAAGCTAATATTTCATCATCAAAGGATTTCAGCTTTAACATGATTAAGTCTAGGGTCTAATATAGGAAAATCTCAAAACTTACTTCCTTCTGTTAATTGCGGTTACTTAAAAAATATAAAAGTTTCCTTTTTTCTCGATTTACAAAAAATATTTGACAGGTAATATTTTCGCTTCAGAGGACAGTTCCTGCAAGCCAGAGTGCAACATGCACCTCTGTTTGGATTTATCATATAAGAAAACGCCACCTAAACTGCCTCACCCTTTTCTTCCACATCTTACAACATTTTTCGTTGAAAATAATTTCTTCTTTAATGCTAAAACTTTTATTGAAAAACACTTCAAAACAATTTCTCACTGGGATTTGGCCAGAATGCTCTGGATACAAGAGAAAAATATTCCACTTCTTTTTACAATATCTACAAAGCAGCAGAACCACTTTAAGCCTTCACCCTCTTCCATGTTCTGAGACCTTCCCTGCTACGCCCTACTCCCTGAACCCATGTTACTACTCCCTCACCTCTACTGACCAGTTTTCTCTAAAAAATAAACTTTTATTTCTTAACAGGTATCCCAATTTCTGACACTTCTAGTAGCTACATTAACACAGTACCACCCTAAGTGACTTAACCAGTCAAAATAAAAAGGTATACAATAAATAAAGAAAATAAAACTTAAAAAGGATTCACAATTAAATAAACAAATCAATAAATAAAAACATTTGGGCCATAGTGTTTTGCTCCCTACATCCACATGTCTTGGGATGTTGGCAGGCCTGTGTGACATGAACAGACTAGTGTGTTTACCAACTGGTCTAGTAAGTGTGTCTAGCAAAGGGAGATCATGCCCCATGTTTCAGCAGCAGCTTAGGACTCACTGCTATCATACAAACCCAGCATGAGGAACCAACCTCTTGGGCTTTTCGCATTCTTTCTTATCCTGAGAATCGGTGTCGGTTGTGTCCTTGTTGCCCGTGGCGGAGTCTGCGCTGGCGTGGGTAGCGGTGCTGCCCTCCTTGATGTGTGATCGCTCTGTGGGTCGAGTGAGTCATCAGGCTGGGTCGTGGCTCCCCTCTGGCAGGTGGGTTGAGTCCAGCGCCAGAAGCGAGTCACGCTGTGTTGCTGGTTCAAGCTGAACCAGGCAGGGATGAAGAGACCCCCTCATCACTGCTGCTACTGCTGCTGCGCTGCTGCCGCTGCGGCTGCCCCTCGCACTGCCTTGACAAAGTGGGAGGGTGGGGGGACCACAGGGGATACTGGAACATCTGCTGATTAGACTTCCGCTGGACACATCGCTGCTGTACCTGGTGTGGCTGAGATGACTGCTGCTGCTGGCTAAGTATTCATCATATCTTGCTCACATACAGAAGACTGCATGCTGAAAAATTACTACTGAGAAGCTACAAGATCCCTTGTAAAGAAGATAAACATGTGCAACTTTCTAAGCACACAAGCCAGCGCTCTTGCTGGTGCTGCCAACACCAGACCTGCTGCTGCAGCCACTGTTGTCCCTGGTGCATCTTGGAAGCCTGGGTCCCCCACACCCCATCTCCTTCTTCTCATTCTGGCTATAAAATATACTCAAGTATCCTACAGAATCACGCTATTGGTATATGATGTTCAATCCTTAGGTAGACGGGGATTTCTTTGCATAAGAAGTTAGTAAGATGTGCATTGACTGCCTATCCAGGGCACTGCATTTAGTAAATTTCACTAGCTATAGGCAACAAACTTTAGGCTCACACAAACTAAAAAGATGAGTTTTTATCTTCATTCCTACGAGTTCAGAAAAGTAGAAAAGCACCTGTAGAACGCTGAAGAGTCATCATCATCATTATTATCATCATCATCATATCATCTTCAATCTTCCTCCTGATTGCGTAGTTCTCTAAGCGAGTGTTTCCCCCCACGAAACACGAGCACTTCGTCCAGTCTTTTAGTTCTTTGCTGAGCAGCCCATTTCCTGGTGGCTGCAATCCTCACTTCAGGGCGGCAGCAGGACACATGCCGCAGCCATCAAGACGTCAGCAGCCTCTTGCTGATCTCTTCCACATACCTTGGCAACCACATTAAAACGTTCACCACAACTTCTTGTGCAACCAAACACGGTTACGGACACTGTGTGAGCCCAAGTCTGTGCCATGACTAACTAACCCTAACAGATATTGAACAAAACAAGATATGGATAAAGTATGTGTAAAAATAAGTATCCCCATAAGGCAGGGCTTACCTTTCCCATCTGCATTTGAAGAGTCATCCTATAAAGAGAATTCTTCATTAGTACATTTATACTTATATTCTATTAATAATAGTTACAAACTTTCAAATTATTGAGTAAATACCAATCTCAAACCTAAAACATAAGAGTGGTTCTTTGAGAGGTGTAAATAAATTTCCTCTGAGTACTTACATGGTCAAGGCGTTCAGAGTAGTTGAAAGTCATCTCATCTTCCAACATCTTGTCTTCATCCTCTAACATAAGGTTGATGGAGTCATCCTCCATATTGCGGGTATCTTCTTCATCTGGGTGATGACCCACCTCATCTTCACCCACTTCCTCGGACTCTTCCATGCCTGGTGGGGAACAAGAAAGCACAAGTGTACCAGGGGAGGTGCAAGAGCAGATAACCTTCTGCTTTGCAATATGCTAAAATGGAAACAGGATCCCCAAGAACAACTTCCCTAGTTACAATGCCATCATGAATCACTATCAAAATTTCTAAAACTGAAAATGAGTAAATAAAACAATCAGGACTGCTTCACTAAAGTAAATAAGAGCCTATGCAAACTATCATTCTTCCAAAACAATAAAGTCAATACACTAGTAACTGAAATCTTCCATTCTTTTTTAAAGAATAAAAAAAATCCAAGTGAAATGTAGTTTTTCTGGTACATTTTCCTCCAATTCTATGCCATTCCCTCGACCTTTAAACCAAAATATTTGTTCCCAATGGCAGTACTAAATAAAGTACCAACATCCTATAATCTCAAATCACTCTTTACTAAGGAAGTTCAAATTGTTTCTGTTGCTTAAAATGAGAAATTTGCAAAAGACATTTCACCATTTTCTCACAATTTCATATCCAATAAATGTGTATTCATTTTCCACAGAATCCTAGTACTAACCACCAATTTTATTAATACTCTTCCGACTAACAGTCATCAAAATATCATCCTCCTCAGCTATACATAATAGCATTACCAATTAATCCAGTAACGACGGGTGTCCCACATACGAGACACCCGAAAAAATAAACATTGCTGGGCATCCCACCAGTGTGACGCTGTATTGGGGCTCACGCTCCAACACAGCAGCGGGCCATGGCCGGCGTGCGGCAAAATCCGGGCCAGCCCCTTGCACCGATTTTGTAACCGCCCAGAATCTTTTATTTTCGGCTTCAAAATATACCGGCGGTAATGGGTTAACAGAATCCTTTATTTACATATAGATATCTAAATAATGGCTATTTTTCTCGTCTTTGACCTATCTCTCCCTCCTTTTTTAAACATTTAAACTATTAAATGTTTGGTTATAAAGCTTATTTTAGTTCTAACAAAATTTCTTAACATAGAAAATACTATAAGGAATATCTATAGTCAAATGACAATCAAACACCCCTTCACTTCTACTAACATTCCCTTTAATAATACGTGGTTACTGATAATCTCTTTACCTTTACTTCCTGTCCTTTTAACAATTACTGAAGGTATTTCCAACTTTCCACCAGAATGAAATGGGACACCTATTTCAAGGTTTACCAATTCTTTTTTTTCTCACAATATATTTCATAATCAACAGGGCAGTTATCTTCAACTAGTGTTACATCAACACTAATTATGACAAGAAACAAACTTCAATATCTCCATATTTCAAGATAAACAAGCTCTGGAAGTTCAAACTATCAGTTCTACTTTTCCTGGTTTCAACTTACCAACTTCTTCACAGGGGTCAGCACTCTCCTCAGCCTTCATATTCTCCTCATCCTTCTGCTCTACTTCAACATCCTCACCTGTGGCATCAACTGTCTGTGTCTGTCCCTGGGGCTCGCCCTGCTCCTCCTCTTCCTCTTCCTCCTCCTCTTCATGGTTGGCAGAGTCACCATTCACATGGTTCACCATTTCATCATCGCCTTCTGCATCAACAGATTCTGTGCAAAGGCAAGAGTGAAGGGTTTTAAACAATCCATCCCAGTTTAATGTCCAAAAGATATTCTTATGCTTAGTCTGCAAATTAAAACATTACCACTAATGTTGGTGATGTATTCTGTATTACTACTTACTTCTGTTTGGCTTTGCTGGCGTGCTGGGTAAACTGCCCTCGAAATCAAACTCCTCTGGATTCTGTCCTTCATCTTCTAAAGCCTAAAAATAGAGAAATACTTCCATAATATTCCTTTCCAATGATAAATTTAAGATTAAAGTTTGCATAATGGGGAGGGGGAGGGGAGGGGAGGGGGGAGAGGGAGGAGAGGGAGAGGGAGAGGGAGAGGGAGAGGGAGAGGGAGAGGAGAGGGAGAGGGAGAGGGAGAGGAGAGCAGGGAGAGAGAGAGAGAGAGAGAGAGAGAGAGAGAA